AATAAAATAAAATAAAATAAAATAAAATAAAATAAAATAAAATAAAAAAATAAAATAAAATAAAACACATTCCCATTACCAGTAGTTGGTTTTGTTTTTGTTTTCAGGGGAGAAAAAAAAAGATTGCAGAAAACATTCATGGCTTGGTTTTGTTGTTTTTGATGGAAATAGGAACATGAACTGACCAAAAACAGAAATGCTGCAGACTTTTCAGCTTCTCATGCCCAGGATGAATAAAACACGCTAAATGAAGAAAAAGAATTGACCATGGCAAGATAAACTGGGGTTGTAAGTGTCTTTCCCATTTTGTGTTCAAGTCCTATTAGAAGCAAAGGTAAGGAAATCAGTTTGTTTGAAAAATATGACTTTTGAAATGACCACAATGTTCCCTTTAAACTGCATTGAAAACACAAGATAAAGACAGGGTACTGAGTGAAAGAGTGCTGATGGCACTTTTATTGTGTGATTTGCCTTGTTTTTTTTCTGAAGTACTTCTTTTTAGCCGATTACCATGTATTTACAGTTAGTGTAATTATATCTAATTACTTAATTAGCATGAATACATGTAATTACTAACTTCAAATATGTAATTATGTCAGGGCAGCCTGTAATAAATGAGGTTGGAAAAAAAAAAAACCCTCATTAGGACTCGATGGAAGGACGGCTGCTCCACCCGCGTGGGGAACGCATGGCATCCCTGAGCTGAGCCAGTCCTGGAAGAGGAAAGCACAGGCAGTGCTGTTCATCTGGCAACAAAAACCGACCCCAAAACCCCTATACCAACCCCTTGACCCCCAACAGCTGTGCTCCACAGCACCGGTGGGAGCTGAGCATCATCCCTTGGAGGCAGAAAGGGACCTGGAAAGGATCTGCCACCCAGCTTTGTTTACTCCAGTGAAATCTGGATTATTTTCACAGATCTGTGTCATTCTCAAGGAAACTTCGTTTATCTGACAAGAAATACCAGGGAATAGAAACACTGCAAAACTGCATTGTGACGTTAGGGTAAACTTCAGAGCTCTGACCCAAGAGCAAATCTGCATGTGATGCACTGTGCTGATAATTAATTATTACTATTGAAGTAAAGCTAGCCTCCTAAGCGTTTCTTCAGAAATATTACCAGTCTCACCAAAAGTAATCTCCAGTAACTCGCAATTACCCACTTCGCAAATCCAAATTCGGAATGTTGGAGATGGAGCTAAACTACAAAGTTCCTATTTACTGCCAAGAAGCACTTATATGGTGATGCTGTCCTACCAGCAGCATGAAGACTGCCTCGTGGACTTAGCTGAAGTCAGTGCTTCTTTCTTTTTTTCCACCAGCCACGTGCTATTTGCTGCAGTGAGCTGACACTGCTTGTCCACAAAGACCAGTGGCCATTTTCTGGGCACAAACATGGGTTATGTTGGGTCTTTATTTCCATTATCAACCCCCTTGACCTTGGGATAGCAAGGAGAAAGGCATGGCTTCATCCTAAGATGTTCTGTCTACAGTGCTTGCTCTACAACAAGCCCTGTTCTTCTCTATTTCCAAACAGAGAGAGGTGCAAACTCCTCACAACCTGCCGCTTGTCCTGCTGACATCTGCTAAGAAGATTTGCCACTGTTGTTCCTCCACTTGCCAAAGAAGAGGAGGAACAGTCTATTTTAGGTTATGCCCCCGACATTGCTTTGTGGTTATTCTGTCCTCATTGTTAGGGAATGAGAATTAGGGAAGAGGTTCCCTAACCTTCCAGGTGGTGCTGCAGGTGGCTGAAATGAGACTGGCTGCAAACTCCAGCGCTGCCTTGGAGTTACGGTGTGAGGATGGGGACAGTATCTTCCCAAAGACTCAATGTTGTCATGAGAAAGCCATTAAATAGGAAGGGGCGAGGATCTTGAGCCCAGCTCATCCCTGCTACTCCTCTAAATGAGGCAGTAGCAGCAAGAGGGTAAGAGAATCATAGAATCATTGAAGATGGAAAAGACTTCTAAGATTTTCTAGTCTAACTGTCCACCTACCACAAATATGCCTCCTGACCACGTCCTTCACTGCCACATCTCCACAGTTCTCAAGCACCTCCAGGGACAGTGACTCCATCACCTCCCCCAGCAGCCTGTGCCAGCTGGGAGTTGAATCCTGCGCCCTTCATCCCACTGACAGGAGGATACCAAATCCCCATGTAGGATGACATGTTAGCTGGAGAAGGGTCCACAGGACAGCATTAGGCACAGAATCACAGGCAGGGAGCTGCTTTCCTTATTTCAGCTGCAATTCCATTATGCAGAGCTAAGTGGTTGGGAATAAACATCCGTCATCCCTGTGTGATAAGCAATGTTTGGTAGTATAGAGGGTGACAGAAATCTATATCACATCAATGTACTATTAATACTGCATTAAGCATATAGAGTTTGCTCTTCTCACTGCAGTGCAGTAATGGGTATCAGCATGTCCTCAACCCAGATGATGTCCAAGAGCACAGGGACAATTGCACGAGGAAGGAAGGAGAAAAGCTGAGTGTGGAAAGGAGAAATTATTTGCTGAGGATGTTGCTTTAGCAACATGTATATACATAGTAGAAACCCAGGATGCCATGAAAAGCTTTTGTTTGAGAGTGCTACAGTCATGCATATGGGCAGGGCTCTGGGAGGGGACACTTCCATCAATCTGGGCTCAGCTGAAGCATTTTTGGACCAAAGAAGTTTTTCTCTCTCCAAATGGCAGGCAATGAAGAAATGTTTGTGTCCAGGTTCTGCACAAGTGGAAGTAAAAACCCTTCAGCAAGAAAACCATAGGGAGAACAGGAGCAACAAATATTCTCCAGCTCAGGTTTAAGTTGAGCAGAGCACATCAGATCAAACAAAGCCCTTACAGCAAAAGCTCCCCGAAGCATGCTTAATTTAAAAGGTGAATTATGAAACTTTCCAGCCTCAAGCAAAGCCACCAGTGAAGTCAGAAGTTTCAGGGACTAAAATACAACACACTCCAAATCCAACTCTGCCCGAGGTCTCCAAGCCCTGGTTGCTGTTGTTGTTTTTGTCCTATGAATGGCAAGAAATTCCAAAAAAACCCACAAGTTTTCAGTCTGTCAGCATCCAGCTGTGATCTGACTCGTTAGCACTTAAATGTAGCACCTTACTTTGGGATCTGGTTTCATCACCCTCCAAGCCCCAGGACACCCAGTGCACAGAAGTGAGCCATTGGTTGTGGATTTCCAGGATGTGCACAGTCACTGCTAGCACTGCATTCCCCCTGTGGCTCCTTCCAGCTCCAGGTGTCCCTCATGGCATGTTGAGCTCCTCATCAAACAACCCTGTGAAACTCCAAGGCCATCTTCCCCCTGCAGCCCATTACAACAAGACCCATGGGGTAATTGCTCTGTGCAAAATTCAGTCTTTTGTGTTTTGAGCTTAGCTGCTGCACCCTTGCAAGAGTACCCACATGCCAAAATGGTCGACGCATAAAATGAAAGTGCAGAAAGAGAAAAAAATATATATACGCTCCTCCCCTCCTCCCCCCCCCCAAGCCATCAGAGTTTGTAAATCATTTTTGAGATGAGGTGTTATAAGCAATGTAAAATACGTAATTAACGGCGCAGCAAAACCACGCTGCACTCAGCTTCTCTGCTCCTGCCTAATCACTGCACTCCTCCCCCTTCTCTGCAAACAGACCAAATTTAGTGCATTAAAATGAAAATCAAAGGGAAAGCTGGGTGCGTTAATTGGATACACCCCATCACTCTGGCACTTGATGAGCTGTGATCACACCTCAGGAGCTGGGGCCAGCTCACAGCACCTGGGGGGCTGCCCCAGGGACCCCCCGATGGAGCAGAAGGTCCTTTTCCTTCAGCAGAAGGCTTAATGCAGGTGGGAGGTTGGCATCCTCCCAGAGCTGTGCTTCCAGGGGCTGAGTTATGTTTCCTGCACTCCTGAGTCAGCAAAGGGGAGAGCAGGAGGCGATTTCGGTGTGGCATTCCTTGCTTACAGCTGGACCATGGGAGATGTGGAATTATTGGGGTATTTTTGTTTTATTTTCTCTTTTTTTTTTCTCTCTCTTTTTTTTTTTTTGTTATTAGATCTGGTTCTGCCTGGAACCAAGAAATGCCAAGTGGATGAGCAGTAACAGTTGAGGAATGTTATCTGCACCTCCTGCATTGCATCTCAGAGCTGCTAAAAAGTACAGAAAAACTAAACAACTGACTACGAGCTGCATGCCGAGGCGGCTGCACCCAGCCCACAGAGAGGGACTCCCAGAAAACCATCCTTTTACCAAGCACTTTCACACTCAGAATTTAGGAGCACAAAACAGAGGACCACTTTACCACCATCTGCTATCCTAATGAGCCGAGCTCACAACCCAGATTTATACAGAGAAACAGAAAAGCTTTACAGAAGCTGTGAAAACAAGTCCTTCAGCTTCTAAACCTACCATTCTTCATCACCACACATCTGCCCCATCTACGGACACATGTCCTGAGCTTGTCCTTGTCCAAGGAGGCAGCCCCACAGCTGGGAAACTGCTGGAGGAGAAAGGGGAGGCAGGTCCTTTCCCCGGCCAGGATGGGGTCATGTCCGACCCCACAGCTCCTGCTCATGCCTTGGACACAGTGAGGCAGAGCCCAGCTTCGAATGGCACTTTCAGGCAAGGGGGGAAGGTGACTGGTGGGTGGTGGAGAGAGGGTGAAGGGAGGTGAAGGTGAGGGTGGAAAGTCTCCTTTGAAGCACCTACATGTATGTTGTGATTTCTGAGACCTGAGATTCACTTTGGTTTCTGAGCCATACCAAGACCCACTCTCCTCAATAAAAAAGCTTCTCTCCTTCCTCGTCATCTTAGCCTCTTTCTCCTCACCCTCCTTCCCCCATCCCCCAGCCCAACCCCTGGTGCTCGCGGGGGCTCCAGCCGGCTCGGGCACTCACACGTGTCTGGCTTGTGGCAGTTGTGACCTTGTCGGAAGTACTGGGGGTTCTCGATGACGGGGATGCGGGTCATGCCGATCACCACCGTGTCTGGGCCAGCATCCAGGGACGAAGGCGTCGTGATGCCGTGGTTGATGTGGTGGAGCGGGCTGGCAGAATCCTCCTCTCCGCTGATCACTGCCACGGGACCTGCGAATACCAGGCACATCCGTCAGACACGAGATGGGAATGGTGACACAAAAACCCCCTTGATCATGAATTGCTGTGGGTCCGCCATCTTACTGTCCCAGCCCATGACGATGAAGGAAACATATCTCACATTTTCTCTGTTGGTGCCAAAGTACCAGACTGACAATTCCACAGGAGTTAAGGTAAACTACAGGTGGCAACGCAGCAGAGGTGAACCCTGCACGAAGTCATCCCTGTGCTGTCACGTGGCAGAGCAGTCACTCTGGTGCCTGTACACTCTGCTGTTATGAGCTTGACAAAATACCAAGCTTACACAAGAGAAACATTTCTCCCAAAATTACCTGTTCTGCTCCAAACCCACACTCCTACATTTGTTGCTCAGCACATCACCAACCTTGTCTCCACTCTTCCAGTCCCACCCTGCCCTGCACACAGAGCCTTTTGATCAGGATGATACCTACAGGGATCCATGATGTACTGCAGCAGATCCTGCTCAGTTCATGCCCTGCACGCACACAGGAGCCAGAGCCAGAACCCAGCATCACCCACCAGCTGCTCTCCCAGGTTGGTCCACCTGCCTCACAGCACCCACTTCCAGCCCCCACAGAACACAAACATCTCCATCACAAGGCAAAACCTTTTAATCCCCGCTGCAGCCTTTGGTGCTGCATAAAAGTAAGATGCTGAGGAGCTGGGTGATAAAGAGACCACAATGCAACCTGCCTTACACTTTCACAAGGGGTTAAAAACACACTCAGCTAAAGATGTTCCTTATCTCCTGCCTGGAAGCTGCCAGGGACCTCCAGCAGGTCAAGCAATGATGAACAGAGGTGCTGCATTAAGGCTTCAAATCTATTCAGAGAGGCCTGTCTTTTACCTACATCACACTGGAAATACCTCTTTCCCATCAGCAATCTACTTCTAATTACACAATTACTTTATTATGTACCACTAGCAACAAAGAGGGGAGTCTTCAGGCCATTTTTTTGCTCTTTGGAGTCTCTGGGAGGACAGGGCGAATACAGGCTGCATACAATAACTCTGCCTGCATTAACCTCATCTAAAGGCTGCTCATTTTTGAGGCATCAAGTATTGTTTGTTCTTCCAAGTGGGATATAATAAAGCTATTGTGTAATAAGCAGAGTCCTGGCAGCCATGGCAGGTGTCTTAGTCACAAGGAAAAGCTCTCTCTCTTTATTGTGAATTCTTTCTGGTAGGTTCTTGTTTTTATTTAAGTTAGTCCTAGGACCCACATGGCTTACAGCTTCTGAGAAGCAAAGGCAAAACTCAACTCATGCCACAAGATGCCTCTGTTGGGACTGCACACGCCGTATTTCTCCAAACACAAAAAGTAAACAGATAATTTGTGCTTTGAAGGATTTCTGTTCACCCGCGTTGGCAATTATTTACATGCAAACCCCAAGGACTGGGTTTCGTGTGGTGCATGTCTTCTCTGCTGCTGGGCTGTGGTGGGAAGGGGCCACCTCCGCACTTCAAGGAACACTTCATAAAAACAAGTCATGAAAATATCATCCGAGTACCAATTTGTGTAAATGATTTGAGTAGAGACCATAAAGACCCACTGGTGTCCCTCTGGTGCACGCACATTAGAAGGACGTGGCTCTGTTTGAAGGAGTAGGGCATGACCAAGGTGGCTGGGTATTTGTGAAACTGAGCACCACCAGCAACTACTGCCTGCTGTTCAGATGGCAATTTCCATGCCAATAACCAGGTTCCCAGTCTGATCTTTACATTTTCCATTGCTTTTTCTTTTTTTTTTTTTCCTGCAGCTGAGCTTCTATCATGTCTAGTTGCACAGCTCAAACCTGTCCAACATCTCTAGGGCAAAGGCAACCACGTCCCAGTTGATCCATATTTGCACTCCCAGTCCCCAGCAGATACTGGGTACTGTGATTCGACTCCATCTTTCAGTCTTCCAGCTATAATCATAGGTGGAAGGCATTTGCAAGATCTACGACAACCAAAAGTCAAACTCTGATGCTCCATGACCATCTCTGCCTCTTCCTATTTCTGCAAAAATGGGAAAATCCAAGCAATTGCAGTCAGGACACCACAAGGCTAACAATCCATATAGAGATATTCTGTTCTTGCAATGATCCATGGAGGTCTTGGGAAAAAAAAATAAATCATCAGAGTCCTGAAGAGAAAACCATGTTGGTTGCAGTGTCTTAGCTTTCAAGATTTCATTAAGTACTTCTATCCACAGTTGGTAAGGACCTGATATGCACCATTCAGCAAATTCTTCCCCAGTATCCTCAACAGGGTATAACTGGATTAAAGACGCAACTTAGACCCGAGGGCATCTGCGAGCTTCCCCCATTTTTAATGATGCTGATGGTGGGAAGGGCATGGGAGTGAAAATCTGGGCAGCATTAACTCATACAACACAGTCACAGCTCCTCAGATGTTACATTTCCAACACTTCTTGGCACTCACAGATGAGACCCAGCTCCCCCCAAGCACACGACTGCCCTCCTTCTCCTCCACATCTCAGACAAGTACCAGGCTCTCTTCACGAGCCTGAGGCAGACTTCAAAAACATCACTGATACAAGCAGTCACTGATCACTTCTATAGGTTTGACTACTGCTCTGACACTCAAATATATACCATTATCTGCAACTTCTATCCGTAACCATAAGGCAGCTACTTGAACTTCAATGTGTTTTTTAATCTCTCTTGGCAATATCATATATTTTTTGCTGCTAAGTAGGTAAAGAGGTTGAGTTTTTGATGTATAATGCTGATGAATGGCTTTATTTGGAAGAATTCTCACTGGTTTCAGCAGAGGATTTTCCAAGTAAGGTTAAAGGGAAAAAAAAAAAGAAAAAAAAAACTGGAGTAGGAAAAGAGTACAGTTTTTAAGATTTAGGTTTATCTTCCACTTGGCAGAAGAATGGGCGGAGGACACAGGAATCAAGCCAGTTTTGTACTGTAAAAATGTAGAATAATAGTCAAAGGTAGTCTGGGGCAAGTCCTTTTGTACAGACCTGAGATCTAAACGCATTACATGAAATATTTCTGCAGCTGCTCTGAAACTTAACATCTAAAGAGCAGCGCAACAGATTCTTGTGTGGATAAATCAGGCTGTGCTACAAACACACTACAGATATTCAGAATCTATTTGCTAATATTTTAAACAGCTTCTGTACGTTCCGAGCATCAAACATGTCATGTCTCTTCTTTTCTACTCGCCACTCTTCCCTGTGGCTAAACTGGAGTTTGGCATGGTGGTTTGGTTCCTATCTGTCTGGAAGCACTATGAAATAAGTTATTTATTGTTTTAGTCTATGCCTATGAATCTTCTGGCTCGTTTACGGTGTTACACGGACAACTTGTTACTTAAGAAAAATAAAGCACGTAATAATAATAAATAGCTTAAGGAGCCCTTGTTTGCATGATCATATATCATAATGGTAAATTATTTATCAAGGCTAAGAGCTACACTTTCTGATAAAATGCAGGCTCGGGAATATAACAGATTTTATAAATAACCACAGATTAGAGAAGATAAGATAATGGTCACTTCATACAGATCTGTAACGTAATGAATGCTTCAAGGCAGACAGGTGAAGAACAACAAAAACTCCAGCTTGCCATCACAGTAACCTCTCCAAAGTAGCAAAAATGATGGAAGGTGTAGAAAACATGACCTCCAGGGGAAAACTGAAAGAATTATGCTTTGTGTTGAGAGAAGAAGGCTGCAGGGACACGTGATAACAGCCTTCAAATATGTAAAAGGTTGCAGCAAAGAGAAGTATAATAGCTGTTCTCCACGTCCACTGGGGATAAAACAAGAAATAATAGGTTTAAATTGCACTGAAGGAGATCCAGGTTTGAATGCCTCCCCTAATGCCTAGCAGCATGCATGGCTGAGCACTGGGACAGATAATCCTGGTTGCTGCAGGGGCTCTGCCAGCCCACGAAGGGAAGGATGGAGAAGCACAGGACCAGGACCACGCTCCCTCCATGTGGTTTCCACAAAGGACAAATCCATCGTACACCAGGCCATGCACACAGCACAGGACCAGAGCAATCCCCCTCCCTCCAGCCATGCATCCAGGAGCTATCGGTCAGAACGTCATTTCTGATCAAAAATGATCACTGCGAGAGATAATTGTGCCGTCCGCATTTGCCCGTGTGATATAAAGAAGCCATATAATTAACTTGCTTAATTAGGAACTGTATATGACCCATAACTAGGAAGAAAAAGAAAAAAGCTCTCCTGGTAAAGTGGGTCACCATGCGTTGTATAGCAGCATTGAAGCAGACCTCATTAAACTCCAATATATATTATATACAGAATCCCCTCCTCCTCTGATTTCAAGCCTCTGTTCGCCCTTCCATATTTCCCTGATCTTCATCTTAAATGCTCTTCTTCAAAGGGCCAGCACACAATCCCAAAACAGGACTCAGACCTATCCATCCACACACACACGTTTATTTATGACACAGACACAAGACCCAAACTTCAGCTCCTCAGGAGCAAATAAACAAAATGTTTAAAAAATTCCAACCTTTTGCTGGAGCTGAAATCAAACAGTCCCCCAGGGCTGCTCTCTGCACCAGCAAGGAAGAGAACTGAAACTCATAAAACAATAAGTGAAAGCACAACAAATACAATTAAAACTCTGGCCATGCTCAGAGCGAGATCACATTTACTGTCTCATAAAAAGAGCCTTGTCCTGTCAAGGCAAACAAAAGGAAATCAATTTCTTAATATTTATTGGCAGATGCAGGCATGGGGCCAAGGCAGCACTTGCAGGGACCTGCTTGGAGCCAGGCTGCCGTGGGCTCCAGCCATTCCTTGCCCTCCTGTAAGGGGAAAAAGCCACCACTTCTCATCCCTGGGGATGTCCTTCCAAGTGTTGGGTTGTCCATCACCAGATTCCTTTTCCTCTGAGTGACAGCTGATCTCCAACTTGGGAAAGGCTCAGCATCCCCTTGCCCATACCAGCTACCAGCATGGAGCATCATACC